AAACTTTGCCCACCTGACGGCGCCCATTACGGACTGTCTCAGCAGTAAGAAGAAGTTCGTGTGGACTGAGGAGGCGGAGCGAGCATTTGAGGAACTAAAAGGGCCTTCGCCTCGGAACAACAACTCCTGCATGTGGATTTACAAAAACCGATGAGAGTGGAAACTGACGCATCAGACAGAGCGATTGGGGCGGTGCTTCTGCAGCCAGGCAAGAAGGGGTCAGAGTGGAGACCGTGTGCCTTTTTTCGCGAAAGCTGAACAAATCCGAGAGGAACTACACGGTGTATGACCGAGAACTACTAGCCATTCATGAGGCGTTCCGGAGATGGAGGCACCTGCTAATTGGCGCACAACATAAGGTGCAAGTGTGCACTGACCACAAGAACCTAGAGTATTGGAGGACGGCACGAGTGCTCAACCAACGGCAAGTGAGATGGGCCCAGGAGTTCTCCAAATTTAACTTTGAGATTAGTTACGTGCCAGGCCCAGAGAACATTAGGCGGACGCTCTCTCACGCAAACCTGAATATTTGGAAGGGGAGGGGGCACCCGAAGAGAGACATGTCATTCCAGAAGACCGCTGGGTGTGTGGGGCGGCATTGGTGGGACAAAGAGAACTGGTAGAGGAAACAGAGAATGATGAATACGCCCAGAATAAGCTCAGAGGTCTTAGGGGTGATGGAGAGGAACCAGGGGTTTCGAGGAAAGAAATGGAGCTTTGTATTACAAAGGGGCACTGTATATCCCTGAAGGAGAGTTAAGGGGAGGGTACTCAAGCAGTTGCACGACAGCCCTACGGCGGGGCATTTTGGACAACACAAAACCATGTGGTTGGTCACCAGGGAATTTTGGTGGCCTAAGGTGAGGGAAGATGTACGGGAGTATGTAAGAGGGTGCGAGCAATGCCAGCGAGCCAAAGGGGAAAGGCGGGCGCCGGCGGGGCTATTAGAACCCTTACCAACCCCAGAACGACCTTGGGAGGCAGTGTCGATAGATTTTATGACTGATCTGCCGAAGTCCAAAGGGAAAACAGCCATCATGGTGGTGGTAGACCTACTAACAAAGATGTGCCACTTTGTAGCTTGCTCGCATGCAGTCACGGCGGAAGAGACAGCGAAGTTATTTGTAGAAAACATTTTTAGGTTGCACGGGGTGCCATTGAGGGTGGTCTCAGACCGAGGAAAACAATTTACTTCCAGGTTCTGGAGGAAGCTCATGAGCTTACTGCAGGTGGAGGTCAATTTTTCGACTGCCCGGCACCCTGAAACCAACGGGCAGGCGGAAAGAGCAAACGGTGTCCTCCAGCAATACCTGAGGTGTTATGTCAATGACAGAGAGAATGACTGGGTAGATAAGTTGGCGCTGGCGGAATTTGCCTACAACAATGCCGAGAATGTGTCCACAGGGATGAGCCCCTTCTTGGCTAATTATGGGTGTCATCCCAGGGCTTTCCCAGGGGGAGAGGGGGAGAGATGGAGCGTCCCGGCAGCCGAGCATTTTGTGGAAGAAATGGAAGCAATCCATCGTCAGCTCCAACTCAACTTAGAAAGGGCGAAGGAAGAATACAAGAGGCAGGCAGACAAGAACCGAAGGGAAGGTGAAACCATAAGGGTGGGAGATAGGGTGTGGCTGTCAACCCAAGGGTTGCCGGTCAAAGGAGGTTGTAAGAAATTAAGACCCAGGAGGTTGGGTCCCTTTGAGGTCATTCAACAGGTCAACCCAGTGGCTTTCAGGCTCCGGTTACCCAACCACATGAAACTGCACCCAGTATTTCACAGGTCGTTACTGTCACCGTACGAAGGGGGACGAGAAGGGCTGGCCACTCGGGGACCGGTCGTAGAAGAAAGAGAATGCAGCAGCCATGTGGCAGAAATCCTCGACGCCAGGTGGAAGGGGGATCAGGTGGAGTATTTGGTAGCGTGGGAAGGAGAACCGGAGTCAGAAAACACTTGGGTAATGGCTGAAGATATCAATGACGAGGTATTGATAGAAACGTTCCATCAAAGGTTCCCAAGGAAACCTCAGCCTGTGGAGAGGTTCCGGAGGGAATACTTTGGGACCACTGATGAAGGGGAGGAGTTGGAAGGATTCCCGGACTCGGAAGGGGAAGGGGAGATGGACTCTGAGGAGGAGGTGTACTTCGAGACCAGGAACCGCAACAGGTTGAGAGAAGTGTTCGAGACATCGGAAGATGAAGGAAGTTCATTCCGAGGTTTTGCCTCCTCACCGCCCGTAGAGGAGGGGGCGAGAGGGGGTGAAGGGGGCCCTGGAGGGGAGGTGGATGTCAGGGAACTGCCATCGGACGGAAGGGAGGTGAAAGGGCTCACACAGGTTGGGAGAGACGCAGCAGCTGAAGAGGGAACCAACAGGGAGGTGAAAGGGCTCACACAGGTTGGGAGAGACGCAGCAGCTGAAGAGGGAACCAACAGGGAGGTGAAAGGGCTCACACAGGTTGGGAGAGACGCAGCAGCTGAAGAGGGAACCAGCAGGGGGAGAGGAGCTGAGCTGGAGGGATGGCTCAGAGACACTTCCAGCGAAAACAGTGGGGAGGTTTCAGGACCTCCTGTAAGAACACCCACTCCTCGCCGGAAACTGTCACGCAGAGATTCCAGAAGACGTGTTTCCGTTAAGGAGCTTTTATGTTGGAAGCGATTACGAAAGCAACCACTGTCGGAATCTGCTAGTGACTAGAGTAGCCATGTCTGAGGGGCTCCGTCACAGACAGAGGT